AAGGCTCCGGAATAACTACTGTATTTCTGTCTAAGGGAACAAAACTTATTATCGACAATGCATTGTTCTCCTCCAAGTCCCGAAGAAACTTGTTGAGTTTTATAGATATCCGACGAAATGGGTATCATGTTGAGACAATAGATGAAATGAACGTGGAATATCTTTGTATTACAAAGAATATTTCTGGCCAGAAATGCATTGTAGAAAAGTTACCAACTTTATTTTCTGGCTTATACTATTCAAAAATTAGTACAGTTGAAGCACACTCTATCGTAAACCAGAAGTTTACTGATTCAAATACTTTTGTGCTTTGGCATGGCCGTTTGGGCCATCCTGGATCAATAATGATGAGACGAATTACTGAAAATTCGAGTGGGCATCCATTAAAGAACCTGAAGGTTCTTACAAATGATGAATTTTCTTATGATGCTTGTTATCAAGGCAAAATGATCACTAGACCATCACCAATGAAGGTTGGCATTGAGTCCCCTGCCTTTTTAGAACGTATACATGAGGATATATGTGGACCTATTCACCCACCAAGTGGGTTCTTTGGATATTTTATGGTCCTAATAGATGCATCTTAAAGATGGTCTCATGTGTGCCTATTATCATCTCGCAACCTGGCATTTGCAAAGTTATTAGCCCAAATAATTCGATTAAGGGCACAATTATCAGATTATCCTATAAAGTCTATTCGCCTTGATAATGCTGGAGAATTCTCATCTCAGGCTTTCGATAATTACTGTCTAACAGTTGGAATAAAAGTCGAACATCCTGTACCTTATGTTCATACTCAAAATGGCCTTGTAGAGTTATTTATTAAACGGCTGCAATTGATAGCAAGACCACTACTTATGAAAATAAAATTGCCCACTACTATTTGGGGCCATGCTATCTTGCACGCAACATCACTTATCCGTCTCAGACCAACACATTATAATAAATATTCTTCGTCACAATTAGTTTTTGGTCATGAACCAAATATTTTCTATCTACGAATTTTTGGATGTGCTGTATATGTGCCAGTAGCACCACCACAGCGCAGTAAGATGGGACCCCAAAGAAGATTAGGAATATATATTGGGTTTGAATCACCCTCTATTATTCGCTATCTTGAACCATTAACGGGAGATTTATTTACTGCTCGATTTGCAGATTGTCGATTTGATGAAACAAATTTTCCATAATTAGGGGAAAAGAAAAAGGAAATCAAAAAAGAAATTGTGTGGAAAGTTTCATCATTATCTCACTTTGATCCACGTACCCCTATATGTAATCAGGAGGTCCAGAAGATCATTCATTTACAGAATATAGCAAATCAAATGCCATATGCATTTACTAATTTGAAAAGGATAACTAAGTCGCATATCCCTGCAGAGAATGTGCCTATCCGAATTGATGTCCTAGCAGGACCATCTACTAGAATGGGAGCTAGTGAACCTAAAGCACGCCTGCAACGTGGTAGACCATTGGGTTCTAAGGATCGAAATCCTAGAAAAAGAAAATCGACAAATGATCAAAATGATATTATGAAGGGATCTCCCGAAGAGACCCAATATCTGATTAGTTTTGAGATTCCTGAAAAAATCAATGAACCCGAGACTCAAGTGAGTGAGGAACTTTTAATAAGTTCTACTGGTGATGAGATTAATTTAAATCGATCTGAAATAGTGGTGGATAATATTTTTGCATATAATGTTACACTTAACATTATGCAAGATAGTGAGAATCTTGAACCCCGATCTGTCGAAGAATGTCGACAAAGATCTGATTGGCCAAAATGGCAAGAGTCAATTCAATCGGAATTGAAGTCACTTGCTAAAAGAGAGGTCTTTGGACCAGTAGTCCAAACACCAGCTGGTATAAAGCCAATTAGTCATAAATGAGTTTTTATGCGAAAAAGGAATGATAAAAATGAAGTTGAAAAATACAAGGCTCGCCTTGTTGCACAAGGATTCTCACAATGACCTGGAGTCGATTATGAAGAAACATATTCACCAGTTATGGATGCCATAACATTTCAATATCTCATCAGTCTAGCCTTACGTGAACGGCTTGAAATACATCTAATGGATGTGGTTACAACTTATCTGTACGGGTAACTTGATAATGAAATTTACATGTAAATTCCTGAAGGATTTAAAATGCCTGAATCATATTTAAAATTTCGAAAAATGTACTCAATCATATTACAAAGATCTTTGTACGGTTTAAAGCAATCTGGGCGCATGTGGTATAATCGCCTTAGTGGATATTTGCTGAAAGAGGATTACATAAATGATGTTATTTGTCCATGTATTTTTATAAAGAAAATGGCTTTAGAATTTGTTATACTTGCTGTTTATGTTGATGGCATAAATCTTGTTGGAACTTCATAAGAGCTCCAAAAGGCAATTGAATATCTTAAGAAAGAATTTGACATGAAAGATCTTGGAAAGAAAAAATTTTGTCTTGGTCTGCAAATTGAACATTTAGCAGACGAGATCTTTATCCATCAATTTGTCTATACATAAAGGGCCTTAAAACGCTTTTACATGGTAAAAGCGCATCCATTGAGTACACCAATTGTTGTTCGATCACTTAAAGTGAATAAAGATTTGTTCCGACCTCCAGAAGATGATAAGGAACTCCTTGGTCCTGAAGTACCCTATCTTAGTGAAATTGGTGCACTAATGTATCTTGCTAATGCTACAAGGCCTCACATAACATTTTCTGTTAATTTACTAGCAAGATATAGTTCTTCTCCTACACGGAGACATTGGAATAGGATTAAGTATATATTGCGATATTTAAAGGGGACTCTTGATATGAGTTTGTTTTATGCTAACAAATATAGTGCAGATCTTGTTGGTTATGCAGATGCAGGTTATTTATCTGATCCCCATAAAGCTAGATCTCAAACCGGGTACGTTTTTACATGTGAAGGTACTATCATACCATAACGCTCCACAAAGCAATCCATTGTTGCTACTTTTTCAAATCATGTTGAAATAATAGCTATTCACGAAGCAAGTTGGGAATGCGTATGGTTGAGATAAATAATTCATTTTATTCGAAAAATGTGATTTGGAATGTGAGAAAAGACCCACAATTTTATACGAAGACAATGCTGCATGCATAGCCCAATTGAAGGTAGGATTTATAAAAGGAGATAGAACGAAACACATTTCACCAAAATTATTCTACACACACAATCTTCAGAAATATGGTGACATTGATGTGCAACAAATCCATTCAAGTGACAATCTGGCAGGTTTATTCACTAAATCTTTACTAACTTCAACTTTTGAGAAGATGGTATACAATATTAGAATGCGGAGACTTAAATATTTGAAACAAGATTTTAATTAGGGGGAGTAAAATACGCGATGTACTCTCTTTTCCTTACTAAGGTTTTTTCCCACAAGGTTTTCCTTATAAGGTTTTTAATGAGGCAGCTAGCAATGCGTATTACTAAATATGTGTATTCTTTTTCCTTTACTAGAATTTTTTTTCAAAGGGGTTTTTCCTAATAAGGTTTTAATGAGGCACATTATCTTTTAATGAATATCCAAGGGAGAGTGTTATAAATATATTATATTATGGATGTTCATTTAGTACTCCGTTGTAAATAAGCTTCTTGAAGAAGCTTATCCATATAAGACTCCGCCGTAAATATGTTTATCTATTTAGTGCTCTATTGGAAATAAGCCTCCTGAAGAAGCTTATCCTTTCGGTACTCCGTTATGGATAAATATTACCAATGTTAGAGGATTATCTATATCTGGCACAACAGCTTAGAGTAGCAACTTACAAGCAGCTTACACAGCAGCTTGCAACAACAACTTACAAGCAGCTTACACAACAGCTTACACAACAACTTGCAGTAGCAGCTTACATAACAGCTTCCTTTCTTCTATAAATAGAGGAGAATTCAGTTTATTAAGTACATAAGTTTGAAGTTTGAATAATATATCAGTTTCTCTCTATACTTGTCTTTACTTTACTGTCTTTATTTTGTAACACTTCCGTCCAAAATTATTTGACGGTATTTGACTCGACATAAAACTTTTAATTTTTTTAATAATTTATAATCTAAAACAAACCATAAATCTTTATGTAGTTGTAAAGAGAAAGTCAAAATTATAAAGATATATTATATTTTTAAATAAGTAAAGATGATATTCATTTTCGTTCTGAAAAGAAAAAAATTATCACATAAATTAGAATTGAGAGAATAACTAACAATAACAAACTTATTAAAAATCTTACAAGTGGGTATGTAAATGACAAAGTTAAAAGTGTATGCAAACCATACCTTACCTTTGCGATGGGAGAGATTATTTTCGACAAACTTAATTGAGAGAGTAATTCATATAAATCACCAATTGCCGTGAGATGAATAAACTTTTTTAATTAAAAGTTTCGGATTCAAAAAATTTAAAAGTAGAAAGAAATTCTTAATAAGAAATGTCTTTTTCCTTTATAAACCTTATGCGGCGGGTGAAAACAAAAAAATAATGGAAGACTACTGAGTATAAAAAACACAAGATGGGTCCCACACCTGTCATGGGAGAGTGTAATACACGCGCCTCGAAACCGCGCTTGGGATTATTCACTACCCTCGGTGCAGCTACTAGAGAAGAGTAGAGGAAATATGGAGGGCTCCTGTGTCAGAAGGCTAAAATTGCAAAACAAAGAGAGAACGTGCAGTAGATCTGGATCCACTTAAGCACAAACTCACTCACCTCTCTTTCTTCTTACTTTCTTTCTGATTATTTTTTTTAACCTCCTTGAAAGAAAGAGAAAAAGATTAGTATATCTGTATGTATAGAAAGAGAAAGAAAGGAAGAAAGATTATAGCTTCACTCACTATCCCATAAACACAAAAAACAAAGCTGTTGTTTTTAAGTGGGGGTGGGTGGTTTTTTTGAAATTAAGTGCTACACTGTTGCTTACCAGTAAATATTTATGGGTTTGCTGTTTCTGTTGCTGTCAAGCTGCTGCTGCTGCTGCTGATACTTGCAGGCTGCTCATAGAAATATAGAGGGGCGGTGGTTTAGTTCTTTTGCAGTTTATAGTCTAGTTTGTTAACAACCCCATGTAGGAAAATTGGAAGAAAGTGGAAATAAAGAGGAAGTTGAAAGATTTTGTAGTAGAAAAAGGGAGAGATCTTTTATGGGTAAGCTCATGTACTTCTGAGATCAGTGCTAATCTTTGTGGTAAAATAAATAAGAGGAAAGAAAGAAAGTTTCCAGCTTTACTCTTCTTTCCTTCTTTTCTTTTGCTTCTTGTTTTTTTGTTATCTTGTTTGTAGTTTGCTGTTGTAACTAAAGCTTTCAGCTTTCTTTATAGAGAAATACAACTACCTTATTTTCTTTCAACTTAGGGAACCCTATGAAAACCTCTCCTTTTTTCATCTTCCCCCACGGGAGATTTCCACTTTTCTCTTAACACTTTCTTTTCCTTTTTTCTTGGTTGTTTTATGCAGGAAGACTAAGAGAAAAAGAGCAGCTTAAATCCTGTTAAGAAACAGCTGGTATAGTTGCTAGTTGGTGGTGGAAAAAGAAAGGATCTTTTTCTTGAGTCTTTAGTTGAAGAAAGACAAAAAGAAAACAGGAAAAGTTTGAGGGTTGGAGTTGAATCTACTACCAACCCTAAAAGAGACTGATAATTATGGATGCATATGAAGCTACAAAAATAGTTTACCAAAGGATTCAAAATTTGGATCCTGAAAATGCCTCAAAAGTTATGGGGATTCTTCTGATACAAGACCATGGTGAGAAAGAAATGATCAGATTAGCTTTTGGTCCAGAAGCTTTAGTTCACTCAGTCATTCTTAAAGCAAGAAAAGAACTTGGCCTTGCCTCAAACTCACCTTCTTCTACACCTTCAACTCCTTCTTCACCTTCACCTTTTAGTGGTGTTTTTTCAAGGCAGAATTCTTCTGGTGGAAGGATTCTTGGTGGTATAAACCTTCCTTCACCTCTTAGCATAACTAGTAACAACCAGTCTTCAACTGTTTCAGCTTCTTGGAGTAATACTACTCCTAGCTTCTCTGACTTCCAAGAAACTGATCTAGTTAGTCCTAGTGCTTCCACCAATGGAATCAGCAACTCCACTATGAATTCCTCTGCTCCACCCTTTTATTGCAGTGGAGAAATGGATTTGATAGATGAGTTTCAACTACAGGACCAACTTTCTTTCTTGAATGATGGGTCACCAACCTTGGGTCCTAAAAATCCTGATGTTTATTACCCACACCAACAGCAGCAGCAGCAAGATTTAGCCTCAAGTCCAAGTGGGGATTTCTCTTCATACAACTGGGGTAGCAACTCAGTCAACGGCCTATCCCATAGGAGGAGTTGCTCTGTGAGTGATATTTCTTTAGGTGGTGATGACCAAAGTGGCGGATTTGGTTGGAAACCTTGTCTGTATTTTGCTAGAGGGTATTGTAAGAATGGAAGTAGCTGTAGGTTCCTACATGGTGCTGGAGAGGTGGTTTCTGAAGTTGTGGGGTCACCAAGCAAGTTTGAGATGATGGAGCAGCATTGTCAACAACTTCTCAGATCTAAGTCAACAGCTCAGCAGCAAAGACTAACCACTGCTTCTCAGCTCATGGCTTCTTCTAACTTCCCTTTCTCTCCTGTGGCTGCTAACAAATGCATGAACTTTCTTCAGCATCAACAGTTGCAGCAGTCTGCTGAGAGTCCCAGGTTTGAAAACAAAACCCCTTTCTTTTTTTCTGTCTTTGAATTGGAACTTTAGACTGATTCTTGGCTGGAAATTTCTACAGAGCAGCTGCTGCTGCTGCATTGATGATGGGTGATGACATGCATAAGTTGAACAGAATTCGTTTTGAAAGAGGGGATTTTGGGTTGAATGGTGGAGCTGGGATAGCTAATCCAGGTTCAAGGCAAATTTACTTGACTTTTCCAGCTGACAGTACTTTCAAAGAAGAGGATGTTTCCAATTATTTCAGGTATAATTGCTTAATTCAATGAATTAAGCTTGGCCCTTATTGAAAGTTCTGGTTTCTTAATTCATGTTATTCTTTCCTTTTCTAGCACTTATGGGCCTGTTCAGGATGTGAGGATTCCATACCAGCAAAAGCGGATGTTTGGTTTTGTTACATTTGTTTTTCCAGACACTGTGAAGACCATTCTTGCCAAAGGAAATCCTCATTTTGTATGTGATGCTAGGGTACTTGTCAAGCCATACAAAGAAAAGGGCAAAGTCCCAGAAAAGTTTAGGTATTAATCCTTCAGTTACAGGTATGCAGTTTATATTGATCCTTGTATTCTTTATATTAATATTTCTCTTTCTTGGTGTTATTAATCATCAGGAAGCAACAGCAGCAGATGGAGAGAGGAGAATTTACTGGATGTGGTAGTCCTACTGGCCTAGACTCCAGAGATCCATTTGATATTCAGCTTGGTATGTATCAACATTAGCGATTGATTTCTGGTGTTCTTTTTTCAGTAGACTGTGATGGCTCCCCAAAAGTTTTAACCTTTAAATGCTAATTTCATTTACTTATTTTGGTTAACTTATTTTTTTTATAGGTGCAAGGATGTTTTACAATAGTCAAGACATGATGTTGAGGAGAAAATTGGAAGAACAAGCTGATCTGCAACAAGCAATTGAGCTCCAAAGCAGGAGACTGATGAATTTACAGCTTCTTGATGTCAAGAGGAGCAACCATCACCGTGCCCTTTCATTGGGAGCTGTTATCCCGTCCCCACCTCACTCTCCAGGCTTCTTCAATCAAAACTTTGTTCATTCCCCCAACCTTAGCAGCCGAGAAGCCGTAGAAGGTATAATATCTTGATTTTTGCTTGAATAGAGTGAAAGAATATAGAAATATAGATGTTGCCGATACATATGTTACAAGTTCGAACACTTTGCATTTAAGCGGAGAAGGGTAAAGAGGCGGTCCCATTATCCACCAAATTCGGACCGTTGCGAGCTAGCCCTTGGAGATTTTTCGGTTACTAATAAAAGGATAGATGGAAATGGAAGCTTAGTTGATTGAATAATTATGGAAATGGGGTTTTTAGCCTAAGATTTCAGAATGAAGATATTGATATTTGATGTTTATTTTGTTTCAGAGAATGGTTTTGCTCCAAAAATGGCCAATTTTGCTGCTTTTTCCCCAGAAGAAAAGAACCCAAATCTCACTGCAAAGGACAGGGACTGCTACACATCTAAAGATGAAAATAGCAATGGCAAAGAAAGTTCCAAGAACGAAGAAAATGATTTTCAAGAAAGGTAATGGTTGTTGTCTTATTACTATTAGAAATTGGCCAAAGCTAGTATTTATTACTTCTGGATACATCTCTGTTAATGGACTTTGGTAAATTTCTCAATTTGATTAATTGCATTTCCTTCTGTTGTCTGGTTCTGATTCAAGCAAATTTACCAATAAATGATTGGTTTCAGCAGTTTGGAGCATAATCTGCCAGATAGTCCATTTGCATCACCAAAAGCTGTTGGAGAATTCATCACAACTTTCTCAAATGATGTTACTACTGGAGAAGCTGACAAAGGTGCTGGATTAAATGCATCATCATCGTCTGCTAACAATAATATGATCCCTTCTTCCTCCTTGTTTCCTGCTACTAGTGCACTAGACATCACTCCTTTCAAATCATGTTACTTCCAAATGCCTAGGTGCATTTCACTACTTCACTTTGTTTGTCCAATCTCTTCTTTATTAAGTAGTATATTTTTTAAGGGAAAATGTTCAGATTTACCCCTCTATTGTATCTTAATATAGATCCTTCCTTATTTGTTTATATATGATATGATTATTCTAAGCAAAGTCCAATAATGGACATTAATGCAGGTTCCCTTCAGGACATGGCACCATTGGAATGTAGGCCTGGACAGCTTGTTATGTTCCGTAGTGTAGCTTCCTTAGTTTAGGTAAGTGGTCACATATTTTTTTTATCCTTTGGCTAATTAATTAGTACTACCAACATCTTGGTACTTGGTTCTTTTATTGATGTTGGCTGCTTGTTTTTTGGTCTTTTGTGGTCATTTGTTTCAACAGGAAGGAAAGAAAGATGACGAATGTAACTTAAAACAAAAATACTACTGTATCAAGAACCAGCCAGCAGCCAGCCAGCAAATACATACACTACTTACTACTACTACTACTATACAAATATGCATACATATAAAATATGATGTGTGACAGCCATTTCCCATCTCTGGGTTGTAATGTTTTAAGATCTTTTTTTCATATCTTTCTGATAGTTGAGGCTGGACCACAGGTTAAAAGAAAAACAAAAAGGAAAATTAGCCATAGGTGAAAAGAAAAATCCAAAGCATCAACTTTTGGGACTGTAATTTTCTTCCTCTTTCCCTCAATATTCTTGGGTATTAGTGTGACATCCCAAAGGTTTAGTGTTTCTTTTTTCAAGTTTTATGTTGTAATCAGTTGTACAGAAGATGCAGCAAGCAGAAGGGCAGAAGACTAATCAAGGCATCAAGTGAAGGTAAATTCAAGAAAATGCCATATAAGTAAATTTGAAATACTCACTTAGTAGGCAAAGGAAAAGTGTTTTGTTGTAACTTTGTACTGTATCCTTCAATGGGGTTTAATACTAATATGTTTTAGCATATAGTTTTGTTTTTATTAGTATGATAAGGAGTAGTAGCAGGCGCTTTTTAGGTACAAAAATGAAATGGTAGTGTCTCTACCATATGTAGCAGCTACCCTTTTTTTAATTTTATTTCAACCTTTTGTTGTAATTTGATAAGCATTAGATAGTATCAATCAAGATGTAAACAGACAGAAAAAAGGAGGAAAATTGAGGAAGTTTCATTTCATGTATTAGCTTGATTGGTGTCTCTTTCTTAATGTGTTTGCTTTTTAATAGTAATTTCTTTTTTTATTTTATAGGAATTTGTCTCTTCAATGCAGTTGTCCTTTTCCCCTCTTTAATATGTTAGGGGGAAAAGAAAAGAAAGGCACATGGGATGGTGCTGACACTTGATTGTGGGGCCTATTCATAAATTTATCTATTTGTCATGGTTTGTGGGTCCTATTCACCAACACCCATGTGATTGTCCATGTTCTCTCTCTTTTATGCATATTGTACAATGTGCATAATTGATTGTACAATGTTTTTAAAACTCTATTTAAAGGACAAAACACAGATATGAAAAGTAGATTTTGAAAACAACACGTATGACCAAAGAGTGAACGGTTCAGGAATCTTTTGGGGGCTGTGGCTTTTTGAATGTGTGCGCATGAAAAAGAGAGATTTTTTACTTTTTTACATATTTTTTAATATCTTTTTACCCTAGAAGTCAGTAAAAAAATTGAGTTTTAACGCCATTGAATAAAGTGGAATCAAGACTGACAAAGGAGGAGGATGTGCACGAGTTATAAATAATTCTACAATAAAAGTCAGTTTTGGGCACGAAAAGGTTTTAAAGGCATTGGATTTGAAAAAGCTGTTTTGGAGTTCGAAGAGTGAGCAGTGGGACACTGGTACTGTAAACCACTTTTACCTTTTTCTTTAGAGTTTAATGGTTTTGTGGACTGTATTCCAATGGCCAACATAGGGTCCTATCGTATTAAATTACATCTATAGAAAATAAAAAATATATTTGTTCTGGAGGTGACAAATATTAAATAGGTTGTGAGCATGTTTAAACGGATCAAATTGACAAATCGGTTCTTTCAAATTATACGTAATCTCTAATCTTCAAAGATTTTGTGGGTGAATTTGGATTGCTTTTTGACCCGTCTAGTCACTCAAATTCGGCCCAATAGTTTGATGGGTCATCTCGGATTTCAACTAAACTGGTGGAGTTAATAAACAAGTCACAATTCAACTGGTTAAACTTGGCGAGTTACTAAAGAAAAACATATTTTGCCATCTTCACATATCACCACTAATGTCTGTGGTTAGTTTTCAGGCTATTTGGAGATTCTAATGGCAAATTCTACTACTTGGCTGTCAAAAGATAAATTGGTTTTGACCTTCTCGCTTGCCTTTATTTCACTTTTAAAGCTGTTGCAAAGCGACTGTGATTGTTATCTATAACGAGAAGAAATAATTTATTCAGTTTCATCAGTGTGTATATTTGTCAGTTAACGCTCTAGAAATTCCAATTTTATATCTATATTATATTAAAAACACGAAGCCCTTAACGAAATGTCGTTTGCCTTTTTTACTCTTCAAAATTAAAATTTATCATTCAATTATTTTTCTAATATTTAGGAATATTCATTTAATTAATTTCCTACTATTTAGGAATAGTCATTTAATTAACTTCCTAATATCTAGGACTTTAAAATTAACTAAAATTTGACTTATTAGTAAATGTTTCCTTATTTTAATTATGTAGATTAATCCCACCAAAACTTTTTTGTCTTATAAACGTGTGTAGTTAGCATTATGACTTAAGGTAGTAGTCACTTTTTTATTTTGACATTTTACTTAAACGAGTAATTAATTAAATTGACTTTATACCATTCAAACAATTTGTTTGTAAATTTCCCCTCTTTATTCATCGTATATAGACATTAGGAATGGGCATTTGATAAGGATTTCAATGTTAGGTTAATATTGATTTGTCTCCTTTATTAATTATTTTATATTTTTAGATACAAATTTTGTTCACGATATTTAAATATTTATTTAATATTAAATTTTTTAAATCAACTAAAGTTTTAGTTATTAAATAAATCTTTATTTGAATTAGATAAAAAATTCTAATATTTTAAAATTTGAATCAATTAAGGTTTTACTTTAAATAAATTATTTACTTTTTTGAAGTTTGTACCATAATTATAATACATTCCATGTTAAATAGTTTAGCATTTAGGACTTTAAAATTAATTAAAATTTTATTTTTTAAATTTTTTATATAATATTTAAAGCTACACTCAATAAGTTTTGACTTGCAAACATCATCTATAAATGTATAGAATTTACTCAATAATTGTAAAATAATATATAATCAATAAATATTTTTCTATTGACGTATGAAGACTTGAAATAATAAGGATGAAAATAATAGAAGATGAAATATATTCTAAATGAGTTATTGTTAATTATTTTTCTTTTTCTTTTTACAAATATTCTAACCAACTAAATCCGTATTTGTTGGAATATTTGTGGGAATTACAAAAGTACATCAATTTGGCCTATGTCTCCTTAAATTCGTTGGTGGCCAATTTCTTTTGTTCTTCTTTTAACAAGTTGCTGGACCATTTTGCATATATAAAGAAAGTTTGGCCCATATTTTCTTTTAACAAGTTGTTGGTCCATTCTTTAATGAGATTTTTTCATTCATATATATTATTTGAAATCTTATTACGAAAAATGTCCATGTATTGGTATTACCCGACCTAAACATATTTTAGTTACAAAAAATATATAATCCACCTTAAAAGGCTCCCAATCCATTATTTGTGCCTTCATTCAAGGGATTTAGTTACACCATTTTCTTTTTTTCTCTCTCCTCTCTCCTCTCTTCTCTCCAGATTCTCTCTTTCTCCCCATATCTCGAGTAAACGGAGTGCTTTGAATAATAACGAATTTTCCAACTTATCTGCTACTCCAATAGACTTTGCTCAAAATCCTAATTTAGGCAAAGGAATCGGGTCTTTGCTTCCGAGGTTGTCTACATATCCTTGGCTATAAAGAAATCAGGTCAGTGCCGTTCTGAGAAAATTTGGTAGCTGGGACTACCAGACACTGGTTTTAAGACTGTTGTTGTTGTTGTTGTTGTTACTGTTACTTGCTGCTTACATCAAAAGGAAAAGAGAAGAGAACTACATATGTCTGCAAGCTAAGAGTTACAAAATTTCTATCTATGTATCTTGTGGAGTCAAATCTTGATTCTTGACCTGCTCGCTTGTGTTGACCTTAGATTGGATCTTGATACTCTTTGAAGAAAAGATTATGTCTCATTCTCGATTGCTTGCTTTCCTGATCCGAATTTGAGAGGATGGATCTTGAGACGCCGTGTTGCTAACACATTATCAAAGCTGACTCCAACTACCTTGCGATCGAAAGGCTTCTTTTTTATGATGGGAATTGAAACTGCAAGCTTTAAGTCATCGCAATCAGTGCTCTACGGTTGGGGCATGCAAAGCGTTCAAAGACGAACAACACGAACAAAATTTTTTTGCCTCAGTTTGGCACTAGAAAAACTTTGTGAATTATTATATAAAGCTATAAACTATCTAATTTGTTGAAAGGGAGATAAAGACAGTAGTATAAACTAGCTATGTGAGGATATGCAACCACGGGGGTAGTAACTTCTGTTGCCCAAAGGGAATATAATTAGAAGATGGTATCCAATATTACTGACAGGAAATGTAACTAGGGGTCGGCACCCTGTATTATCTAGAAGGAATGTAACCAGGGGTTGGTGCCCTGTATTACTGAAAGAAAATGTAACCAGGGGTTGACACACCCTGTATTACTAAGAAGGAATGTAACAAGGGGTTGGTACCCTGTATTACTGAAAGGAGTGTAACCAGGGGTTGACACCCTGTATTACTAAGAAGGAATGTAACCAGGGATTGATACCCTGTATTATTGAAAGGAATGTAACCAGGGGTTGGTAACCTGTATTACTAAAGAGGAATGTAACTAGGGGTTGTGACCATATATTACCGAAAGTTGTGTAACCAGGGGTTGGTACCCTGTATTACCGAAAAGAAGTGTAACCAGGGGTTGGTACCCTGATCGGGTCCAAACCTACACCACTATTGAGTAGCGAGGATGGTCGATGCGGTTTTACCCAACAAAGTTGGGATCGATTTCCATAGGGAGTTAATTGATTTGGAGTTAGGTTTATATCTAAGTCTAGATATGTNATCTAAGTCTAGATGCGTGTGTTGTTCCTAATTGCACTTCCAAACATGAAGGTGTTGATTCTACTTCTATTTCTATTCTATTGTATGCTAAGATTAAAGCTAAGTACAATATTTTTGATGTTGGTTTTCAAGTGTTTAAAAGGACTAGGGTAGCGACCTCTGCCTAGGTGGACATCTAACAGGTAGTAAGAATCTAGGGCAAGCTTGATTAATTTGGTATCGTAATATAGCTATCACACCCAAGTACTCATTCTATATCTCTCGATAGTTTGAGTGATTTTGCCCAATTTGTCTTTCTCAAGTCCAACTGGGTATTCATGCAAGTTATGTGATATTATCTCAAGTCGGGTATTACTATCTCTAGGTTTAACCCTTTAATTAGGGCTATCAATTTCTTGAGTTCACCCCAATTCCTTGTTAGCCTAGTTTTTTCAGACTTAATCCCTCTTTCTCAAGAAGAGACCAAATCATAAAGACATGAATTAGTGTTTGCAACTACTAATTCTATAATTCTAGCAAGAACTAGGTTAAATATCACTAACCCATAAACATTCAAGCCCTAAAATTCAAGACCCATTAAATACCCACACTAGGGTTGAGTCACAACCCTAGCTATGGGTCTAGCTATTCATAATAATAGAAGAATTCAAAGATAAAGAGAAGATATAATCCATAATACTAAATTGAAAGATGAAAATCTAATGTTATAAGGTAAATCTTGTACAAAATTGCCCAAAAAGGAAAACCTAGCCGTCTCACTTACTCAGCAAAAACATAACATAACCTAAAATTGACAAAAAGATATATTTATACTACGCTAAATTTTTGGGACAAAAATACCCCTGCAAAAGTTTTGCGGCCGCGTAATTCTGACCACGGCCGCACACTTACTTTTGCGGCAGCGTAATTCTGATCGCGATCCGCGTTTCCTCACATCTGGACCTGGGTTGAACCTTGTTTCGTGGACCGTGTAATTTCCCCCGCGCTTCTCA